TGTGGATAACGTACAGCCTGCTGATCGGAGATGAGCAACGAGTGCAGTGAGTATATTGAAGTGCTGAAGTCGCGCAAATGACGGAAGTAGCGTTGAGAGACGTGTGTTATGCTGCCAGGATTTAAATGTCATGTTTCTGGGACTTAAAGAAAACAGGATATTTTGGCGCTGTTTGCTGGTGTATGGAATCTCTAAAACTAAATTAAAGACTGGTCATACTGAACACGAAAGCATTTCACTGCACTCACGCTGATGACCGTATTTATATATGGATTGTTCAGCCGGCTGACCCGCATTCCATTCGTTCTGTTCGATCAGTCCTCCTTCATTCGTTTCATTAATACTCCAAAAATTTTTTTTTATATCAAAAAACTCACTATTTTGCGTTGCGACTCCCAGCTGCTTCGTGAGCACTGTTTGGCATCATGCAGTTGAAACCTCCTGCTCATCTCTACCAGCTCACACCCAAAAATCGCTTTCTCTGTGTTTTTGCATCGCAGTAAGAGATCAAATATGCAAATAATTTCGCAATCGTAATTGTTCAGCAGCCGAATCTTTGCAGTCCGCAGTTTGCTCAGTGCTATAAACGTGAACTTTTGAGCCTCGCTACGAAGAAAAAGTGTCTTTACAAGCAGAAAATAAGGGATGAGTGAAGGTGGAATGATGAGTTTAATTCACTGGATGATGCGAAGTCGTGGAACTCACGAGCTGTTTATATGTGCTTAGAAGCATAGGTAACTTCAAACAGAGGCACTGGCTGATGGACCGCTGTGTAAAACGAGTGCTACCGTCGAGAGAACAATCAGTTATATAGGATGATTTTCACTTTCGTTTCCAGGGAGGAATTCAGTGTTCAGTATTTCCAGCTTTCAGTTTTCACGCCTAATACGTACACTGGACGTGAAAGTTAAGAACTGAAAACATCTGGCTCCTCTTTCGCATCCCTGAAACGAAACAGAAAGATCCGGTTAGAGAGCACACTAAAATTTCAGCTATGGTTCAATAACATTAAGGGTTCTACTCGGGCCGTACAAGTGATCTTTATTTTCCTGTACAGCTCTTGCAGCAGTAAAGTGGCAGTGAACACATCAAAAAAATTTAATTAATCTATTCTTCCAGAAACTCGTATCAGATGCCTGCTCTCCCCTCCCCCTCCTTCTCCCCTATCATTCTTTAGTCAGAAATTCCTCGTATCCTAAAAAATCCTAGCTCGTGCAAAAAAGAAAACTTGACTCTGGCTCTGCATATGACTTTAGATTACAGAAAGTTAAAACCTCTTCCGTATCAGCCTTCTGTGAGAGGGCGTAAGTGTTCCGGGCAGCCTGCATGATAGTACACGCCAAAAGCAGTCACCATACGGCAGACTGCCGATGGCTTGCATTTGCGAAGGTTGCTTATAAGCAGGCTGATAGCATCAGCAGGTTTCAGCAGTTTGTGTAAAATGAATTTTGAATGCTTGCTGATCCAAAATGTATTTGTTGCTGATATTTGGCCAGTTGCAGCTGGGTATGCACGCGTTTCCAGTTATCCTGCTTCTCACATATCTGCTGTGCATTCAAGGCAAAAAGAATGACAAAGACGATAATGACGGGCAATCAGGTCTTGGAAGAGGTTTGTTTTTTCATCCGGCCGTACTTAAATTCAAGTATTCTTAGCTTCCGCTAAAGTCTTTGGGTTCGGACCGTGCGAGAAAGGAAGCTGCTGAAAGTCGCTTTCTGGCTTGCTTTCCTTTTCCGTCGAACAGCGTGCTATCGAGCATCACTCTTTTCGTAATTCAGATACATACAAACACAATCGCAATCGTTTTCATTCTTCGCAAAAATATTAGAAGCCGAAATCCGAGATTTTTCCGTTTAGGTAATAGTTTTTATTACAATATTTCACCGTAATAACCTTTGCCACGAAAGAGCTTAAGGGAGAGGGAGCCTGGAGAAGCGGGGAATGGAAAGCTTACGGGAGCGAGAGCGCGAAGGCGCGGAGGATGAGGGAGAGCGCTGTTTAAGGCGGAAATTTAGAGACCCCGCTTTTTCATCATTTTGAGTTCACTGACCGTGACAGAGATCGTGCTTTTTATCTTCGCTTCCACAACAAAAATCCCACACGCTGTCGGTAGCATAATCTGCTCATGTAGCAGCGCAGGAACTTCACCCAAATTCAAGGCGGGGGAAGCGGGAGAGGGGGGTCGGTGCGACTCGCATGCGTATGTGAGTTAATAAGATGTTCCTTGACCGTGTGTGATCCGAAGAAAGTTGTAAAATCTAACAAATTCAAACGATATTTACAACTGCTAATAATTGTTTAGGATTTGGTGATGACATTAACTGGATACCATGGGAAGAAGCGTTTTCAAAAGCAAAATCACTCAACAAGCCAGTCTTTCTACTGATACACAAAACCTGGTGCGGAGCTTGTCAAGGTTAAAATTTGTTCACTTTATTTGCAAATTCGACCCCGTATTTTAAACATACAAAACTCGAATTTAAGGAGCGGTTTAAAGTTCAGCACTACTGACCGAAACAATATTCACAGATTTCCAGTGAAAGATTAAGCGTCTTTTCGATAAACCATGCTGCTCCTCAGCAAAATCACTTCAAAGCCATCAGTAGTTAATTAACAAAACCAGTGTGATTCCTCGAATTCTTCGCTTGAATTCTTGAATTATCGGGACGCAAGAAGAAAAAAATGCTACTGTATGTTAAAGAATCCTATGTTAAGAGTCTTAAAAATCGTTTCATGCAAAACAGTTTTGTAGAAATTTCGAAACTTAACTTGCTTGCCCAGCTTTTTAATTGAAATTCGTAGCAGGATAAAGGAAGACTAGAAGTAGTGGAAAAGTGTAAAATGATTTCTCAGTAGACAGCACAGTCGAAAGGTGTTTTTAACCTTTCATTTTTTGAGACAGGAATACTCAAAGGATATAGAAATTTTGTGCTCCGTGTGTGAAAGTATTGCGGATGAAGTCGCCTAAAGCTGCACAATATGGAAATTTAGTTCCGCAGATTACTTTTGCTTTTGCCTCACTTCATGTTCTCTGTTCTGAACTTTCCAAATTTTTCGGTCGTAATTGGGAATCCTTGAAGATGCACTTTGAAAAAGACGGAAGAACACAGTTTGTATAAAGAGCATTCAAAAAAATTGTCGGGTAGCAATAACTGCGCAGAACAAAGTTTGTTAAAAATGAAAGGGGAACAATTCGTTATTTTAGTGCTGAGAAACATTGCACCAATAGAGGGTTTTAAAAAATTACTAGAAATTTCCTGCAGTTCTCTTTCTCTTTCCGCCTTATCATCACAGAAACTTCACTTCCGTTCAGAAAGAATTTTGGCTT